CTTCTTTTGACCATCACCCCAAGCCATAATGTGTGAATGGCTATGAAAAATATGTAATGTCTTTTTGTACACTTGAAAACACTTCAATAAATAGATTTTTTAATTGTATTTTACAGAACAGTGTTTAAATAGCATGGGGCATGTACTATTGTCCCTGCTAGTTCTCAGTGCAGATTGTATATTGATATTCAGAAGCAGAGAAATTACATAGAATCTGCCACTGGATTTATAATTTTAGCTACCAGAAACAGGCACCAGAAAAAATCATGGTGAATTTGTTTACAAACTTATTGTGGTAGTATTGTCCCTATTTTAACTTGTACCTACAGGTAAGCTTACAATCAGGCTTACCTGGCGGTACCATGGAATGGATATTCACATCAGTAATAGATGATGATGTCACCTGCGCATTCGCAGTGACGCTCTGCATTCAGGGCACGCTTGTTGCCATTTAATGCAGAGCACATTACCTGATAATGAATAAGCATCGGTAATAGCACAAAACATGTTTACCTTCTTTTTCCCTGCTGTGTTTGTACCACCTGTTATTTTGGTCTTTAACTGCTTATACTACTACAGGGCGGCAAGAGTGCGCACAATCACGTACATGTACGTGATCTGCATTTCCGGGTAGGGGTCTTGTGTGTACCCGCGCCGCCATTGGAGGCCTGACCTGACGACCACCAGGTCCCAGACGGTGATTCCCCACTGGCACCTGACAAACGCCGTGTATCACGGATGGGGAAGAGACCGGTATGTAAACAATACAGACCTTTCCCCTGTCAGCTCCTGCACACTGCTTTGTATAGCTCTGCATAGCAGAGCCATACAAAGCAGTGTGTTTACAGTGTAAAGCACACACACACTGTACACAGTAAAACAGAACATAGCACACAGTTAACCCTTTGATCACCCCACATGTTAACCCCTTCCTGCCCAGTGTCATTAGTACAGTGTCAGTGATTTTTATTAGCACTGATCACTGTACTGGTGTCACTGGGGATGTCAGTGACAGTTATTCAATTCACCCCTAGTGTATGAATGCCCACCACAGTCTCGCAGTCCCGCATTACTAGTATAAAAGAAAAAAAAATTCCCAATATATATACCGCCATTTTTAAATACTATAATGTTCTCGTAAACCAAGTAGTTACACATACTGGGATTTATTTTAGCAAAGACATGTAGCAGAACACATTTATGGTAAAATTTGATTTTTTAAAATTTTTTACTGGACATGTTTAATAGCAAAAATAGCGTTGCATGACAGCGCAATTGTCAGTTACAGTAACGCAGTGCCGTATCTCAAATAATGGCCTGGTCAGGAAGGGGGGTAAATCCTCTGGAGGGTAAGTGGTTAATCTTCAATAAAGTGGATCATTGGTGTGCAGCCTTGTGGACTTCCTTTGCCTTATACTGTGCAGCATGCAAGCTGGTACCCGATCTGAGAATGTGTATAGTGGTGAGTTTGGAGTGAACTTTCCTGGAGAAGCAGAGCATTAGTTACAGAAGATAATGGGGTTGATTTACTAAAGTCAAATAGACTGTGCACTTTGCAAAGTTTGATTAGTAAATTAAGTAAAGCTCCACTTTGCAAAGAATACCTAATCACATGCAAGGAAACAAAAAACCCAGCATTTTTGCTTGCACATAATTGGATGATGGAAGTCAGCAGAGCTTCTGCTCATTTACTAAGCTCTGGAGCAACTGCAATTTGCAAAGTGCACAGTCTATTTGCCTTTAGTAAATCAACCCCAATACATTGTGCCCTAAAATTTTACAGCTCTTACAACTTTTACAAGTTCAAATTGATATTTTTTTATTTTAATATTTTATTATATAATGATTGATTTTTTCTGTCTTCGGGGTAAGAAGGAAATACTTTACTTCATTATACACTACAGAAGATGACTTCCTTTTGATCCTAATGACCCAATACAATTCAGTTATGAGGTTCCAGTGTTTCTTTACCAAGATCCCTCTGATGAAGTCACGTGGGTGTAATGTAACGCGTAAGGGAATACATGAATACTGAGTTCAGCTGACAAGTGAAGCCTGCATCTGATGATTGTATAGCATTTTATTCATTTACTACATGTGAGTGTATTACTGCTTCTTAATATATTTTTATATTAGTACATACTGCACAATGGGAATGTCCTTTGTTCCCTTTTAAGGATAGGAATGTGTGACCTCCATCACCCTTAAAGGGACCAATCCCTGGCTCTGGTTTGACAATCTATTGAAAGCTCAAAGGTGATTGATTAATATCACATGACTGTGGATTGAAAAAGTGAAGAATCCTTTTGTCTAACTGATATCATAAAGTGCATTTCCATGTGCTCTGAGGTGAGAGTTCTGTGAACACTGAGGTGTCACTATATGTTATGTGCACTGTTCCACTTGACAGTGTTTGGGATATCAGCACAAGAAGAAAAAACACACAAATTATGGAAGAATTTTTGTTACAAATTGATTGATTTTACATATATGGTCTCATTTATGGACGTTGTATTCGCCTATCTCACTATATTTTTTTTGTAGCTATTATTTAACAGTGCTACATCACTTATTTATTAATTTGCTTTACCAAGGATACTACAGCTTGCCAACTAATACCCTATTGTCGTCACAATTTATTAAGACATATTTAAGATAGAGACAATATAGATATATACCACAGGGGCTGATTTATAAAAAACTGGGGATGAGAAAATGAAAATCAAGTTGCTACGAAAAGCAGTAAAATGGGTAATAATTCCACTGCTTATGGGCAACATTTCCGCTTTTTTATCACTCTTCTTCAGGTTTAATAAATGAGCCCCACAAACAGTATAAAGAATCACACAGAAGAGTAGGGAGACAGTATCCAATATGTGAAGTGTAGTTGATTGGAAGTGGTTATTCCCATTTTTTGGCTTAGAACTGATTTACTGTAAGTGCATTATAACGTTTTCGTCCTCAGCACTGATAATTTACACACTAATTGTAACTTTAAATATAATCACTGTCTTCTCACCCAAGTAGTAGTTTAGACTCTTGCATGATTCAGATAGTTCCTGTAAAAACTCTCTCTCTCTGCCACTAGAGGGCAATGTGATTGCTGTTTTTTTATCCTAGCTCACTTCAATGCAGGTTTAATATTTGTTTCTTTCCAGCGCTTCATGAAACTCTGCTACACACCGTTTCATTGCTCAGTAAAAAATAGTCCTCCAGTTCTGCTTTTCATTTTCTATTTCTGTTTAAATGAATATTGATGCATTGTTTACTGTTGATTAATATTCATTAGGATCAAGAGATTACACGCACTCTTTTTATATTGTCATTCCAACGAGTAAATAATCATCTCCAATTAGAGAGCAAAGTAAACTAATATGAAAGTTCTTAAAATAAATCAAACGAAAGAATTAAAGAAACAACATGACCCTGGAATGAAAGATTTTTTTTTTCTCGATTGCTTGCTGTTTAATTGCAAAAATTCCACATATGTTTTTGAGATAGAATGATGGCTACATGTTTAATAATTCTGTAGATCTGTGTTTCCCAACCTTTTTTCAGTCAAGGCACCCTTAAACATTATGGACAGTCCTGAGGCACCCTTTACAATTATGGACAGTCTTGTGGCACCCCATTCTAAAATGGGGGGTACCTCTAGACTGTCCATAATTTTAAAAGGGCACCCCATTCTAAAATGTGAAACATTATTCTAATAATGTTATACAACGCAGCACCATCCATACATGTAGGACACCCAACATTCGAGGTGATTTATTCTTCCAAAGCAAATACATTTTTGCACACTGGTACTGAGTAGAATTCCAGCGTTTCTCTTCTCCCTCAGATTTATCCATCACCAGGGGCGGACTGACCATTTGAAAACTCAGGCACTGCCCGAGGGCCTGGGGTCAGTAGGGGGCCCCATGAGATGCCCCTGGTACCTTTTTCATAGGCTTTTTTGAGTTTGGGCAAGGACACAGAGGCCCCATGATCCCCTATTGCCCGGGGGCCCCATGAGTTGTCAGTCCACTCCTGTCCATCACTGAGCTAATGTGATTCCAGCACTGACGGAAAGGGGCAAAGGAGACTCAAACTAGGATACTGTGGAGGCAACTGACTTCCTCCTTATCTTATCAACTGATGATGTCATTAGTTGTCAGGACGACAGCGGCTATAGAAGGTCATAATGGTGCACAATGAAAACCTGTGGCTTTGTGTAACTAAAAGGAAGGCTTGTTCCACCTGCTGGCTTGTATACAAGTTTTGGGTACATTTTAGACATTTTGGCAAGTCACCCCTGAAGAAACCTCAAAGCACCCTAGGGTGCCTGGGAACCCTGGTTGAGAAAGGCTGCTGTAGAGCAAGATACAGCATCATACATCGTGTTGATTGCTTCAGCTGTTAAATTTGTAGTGATGTTGCAGAGTAAATAGCGATGGAAAACCAACAGGTTTTTTTTAGCCTTTTGATACCAGATAGACAACTTTATCTCATGCTGCTAAATTATTTCTCCTCTTATTAGCAACCAGATAATGTGCAATACACTGAGGTTTATTTTCTAATAGAATAGAGGCTGTTAACCAAGCAAAGTAAAAGAAAATCACCCAATAATTTTTATTTCAAACCATCAAAAGCATAAAAAAGCACTCACATATTAACCGCCTCCCGCCCGCCATATAGTAATATGATGGACGCAAGGCGGTTCTCTTGTTCTGGGAGGACGTCATATGACGTCCTCCCATTCTCAGCACGCATGTGCGGCTCCGGGAGCCCTCGGACACAGCGGATCACTGATCCACGGAAAGAGCCGAAGATGTTGGCTCGGTCATGTGATCAGCTGTGTCCAATCACAGCTGATCACATGGAAACAGGGAAATGCCGGTTATCAGCATTTCTCTCCTCACGAGCTGTCACGCTGACAGCTCGAGAGGAGAGCCGCTAATCGGCATTCCTCGGAGGGGACATCTACACTGATCATCAGAGCACTGATGATCAGTGTGCCCTGATGATCTGTGTAGCCCCATCTGTGCTACCTGTCAGTGTCCATCAATTCCAGCTCTGTGCTCATCAGTGCCTCGTGCCATTGCCCATCAGTATCACATCAATGCCACATATCAGTGCCACATATCAGTGCCCATTAGAGCTGCCCTTCAGTGTCACCCATCAGTGCCAGTCAGTGCCACCTATCAGTGCTGTCAATCAGTGCCGCCTATCAGTGCCAGTCAGGGCCACCTATCAGTGCCAGTCAGTGCCACCTATCAGTGTGCATCAGTGCCACCTATCAGTGCCCGTCAGTGCTGCCTATCAGTGCTAACAGTGCCAGTCAGTGCCACCTAACAGTGCTAGTCAGTGCCGCCTAACAGTGCCAGTCAGTGTCGCCTATCAGTGCCAGTTAGTGCTACCTATCAGTGCCACCTATCAGTGCCGCCTATCAGTGCCATATATGAGTGCTGCCTTTCAGTGCCCATCAGTGATGCCTGTCAATGCCCATCAGTGCCACCTACCAGTGCCTCCTCATCAGTGCCACCTATCAGTGTCCATCAGTGCAGTCTATCAGTGCCCATCACTACAGCCTCATTAGCGCACATCAGTGAAGGAGAAAAATCACTTATTTACAAAATTTTATAACAAAAACTAAGAAATAAATGGTTTTTTTTCAAAATTTTCAGTGGTTTTTGGCTTGTTTAAGAAAAAATAAAAAAAACCCAGAGGTGATTAAATACCACCAAAATAAATCTCTATCTGTCACAAAAACATGATACAAATTTCATATGGGTACAGTGTTGCATGACTGCGCAATTGTCATTCAAAGTGCAACAGTGCTGAAAGCTGGAAATTGGCCTGGGCAGGAAGGGGGTATAAAGTGCCCTGTAGGCTAGTGGTTAAAAAGAGAGTCATAGACTCTATCACAGCATGCAGACATATGGTATAAAACCGACTTTCAGTTTCAGTTCTGGGCTGGAAGGAACGATACCCAGCTCCGCCAGACACATTGCACTGCTGCTCATGTGACTTTTGAAGGTCCTATCCCTTAAATAGTCATGTGAGCAGTGACGCAACGTGTCAGGCGGAGTTGGGTGACATCACTTCCAGTCCAGAACTGAAAGTGGAAGTCGGTATTATACCACATTTCTGCATACCATGATAGAGCCTATGGCTCTTTTTTAATATGTGAGGGTTTTTTTTTGTATATGTTTTAACCTAGCAAAGTTAAAGTTGACTTTTATAAATATATGTTCACTATGCAAAATGAATTTTAGTGAAAAAGATAAACTTGAGTTCAGTTTGAATACCCAACCATCTAGCAAAGAAATGAAGAAAGTATTTTTCCTAACTCATGATTTGGTATTCAAATATTCATGAGGGTTCACTTTGCAAACTGAAAAGAGAACATTCATTTTGCTAGGTGAACAGCCTCTATTCCTTTATTACATGAACATCTTTGGGGGGATTTACTAAAACTAGTGCACTCAGAATCTCAACTTAAGCTTGTTCAATTAAGCTTGAACAATATAACCTGGAAGCTGATTGGTTTCTAGGCAGAGCTGCACCAAATCTTACACTCTCCCATTTTAGTAAATCCCCTCAATTGTATCGCAGTTGAGGTAATTGCCTGTCAGAGTGTCAAATAAGTTACAAAGTCACTGACTTGTGTTGAAAGCAGGATTACCTTAAGGTTTGGGAACCTTGGATACGTTATTCCTTGCCATCCCTGTCTCCTACTAGTTATGGCCTCTTATAGTCGCTGCCTGTGCTAGCCCTGGATCCATGATTCTTCTAGTTTCCCTTTCCTCCATGTTTTCTTTCTGATTCCTCTTTTTTTTTTTTTTTTTCTTTTTCCTTTCATCTAACCTTTTTTCTTTCCTCTTCTTTTTCCGGTAATATGTTGGATTACTGCTGCTAATATTTAGTTTCTCTTCTTGCCGTCCCTCCTTGATTTCATTGGACATTTCATTATTTGGCTAATACAAGTCAGCAGGATGTATCTGTTTATGTGTTATTGTTCTGCTCTGCCCCTGTGTGGGCATATCTTGAGCTTCTATTTTTAAAACAAAACTTTCTGAATAAAAATATTGAAACAGAAAGCAGGATTACATATACTTATTTTCTAAAACTTTACTCTTTGGTAGAACTTCTGACACTGATCTGATTCCACACCTCTGATGTGTTCAATAGCGCCCCGCCACTGGCCACTGTGAATCCTCCTGCTGACCACTATTTACTGCCAAACACAGTATTGATATAGGGACCAGCAAGAAGAAACACAGTGGCCAGTGGGGGACATGCTATTCCATATATAAAATCCCTACCAGACCCGTATGTGAGCATGCAGTCTGGCTGGCCAGGAAAGGGTGGGCAGCAAGTGTGCAGCCCCACCCCTCCTGAACCATACCAAGCCACCTTGATAACGTGTGGGCAGTAGCACCTCACTCATCGCCTCCTAGGGGTACCTAGTATCAGCACATCACTTTAAAGTGTCTCTCTTCTTCACATTTAACACATGTGAATGCTGCTTCCTTAGTATGGGAAAATAACATTTATCTGGCCAAAAACCAATTAACTCTTTACATTTTCAGCATTGGTGCTCACAGTTCATTCACTTCTCTTTAGTTAGCACATAATTTGGACATATATTCCATTAATGAGGTCAGTTATTTCTTTATTTGCTCCCCACTGCACTACAGCTTGTAGCACTATTCTTAGTGAATCTGTACACCTATTGGAAAAATCACTTAGTGAGGCCAGAGCCTGACTGACAGTAGCATCCATATTATTAAAAAATAGTGCAAAATGCCTGCACTACAAGCATTGACAGTGAAATTGTTACAATGTATTTTACAAATATCAATCAAAAATTGTGTTCTAAGTGTCATTTGTGTCAAGTGCCAAACCAAAAAAAAATCAAAAAGAGAGGATTACAGAAGTACTAAATACATTTTCACAATGTTTCTTGTAGTCTGTACTTTACATATTGGGAGTATCACCTTAGCAGCAAAAGCCTGAAAAGGACAAAATGTAGCATTATTATTAGAGATGAGCGAATTATTCAAAAATTCGATTCGACTGATTCGGCGAATTCGTGAAAAAATTTCGATTCGAGTCGAATATATTCGCTGCGAATTTAACTTATAAAAGGGTGTTTCTAGGCTTCAGAGAGCCTTTATATTAGTGCAGAACACTGTACCTTTAATTTAAATGCCCTTGGAGTCTGCTGGGGAAGAGAAATAATACTGACAGTCAGTATGACATGCAGATGAGTGCCGACGATCTTAGAATCACCGCACACTTCACTCATTTGGGCAGTCACGGGGCCAAAACCAGAGTGTGGAGCCACAGTGTGGCGGTGGAGGCAGCAGCAATGGGAGGCCATACAGCACCCTATGACAAAATGGAACCCACCAGCAGTGTGAGGAGACCTGAAAGTGGCACATGGCAGAGTGTGGCGATGGAGACAGCAGCAATGGGAGGCGGTACAGGGACCCATGACACACTCTGGACCTGGCAGCAGCATGAGGAGGCGGTACAGGGGCCCATGACAGATTACGGGCCTGGCAGCAGCATGAGGAATTGGTACGGGGGCCCATGGCAGATTACGGGCCTGGCAGCAGCAATGGGAGGCCGTACAGGGACCCATGACACACTCTGGACCTGGCAGCAGCATGAGGAGGCGGTACAGGGGCCCATGACAGATTACGGGCCTGGCAGCAGCATGAGGAGTCGGTACGGGGGCCCATGACACACTCTGGACCTGGCAGCAGCATGAGGAGGCGGTACAGGGGCGCATGACAGATTACGAGCCTGGCAGCAGCAACTTGGACAGGAGGACGTTCAGCTTCTGCACCGTCGGGTGCGTGCTCGCAAACTGTTGTCTCTTGGAAACGGATTCCAAGAAAGACTGCTGACGGAATCCGTGAAGAGGAGTAGCAGGAGAAGGAGCATCTGAACGAGCGGAATATGCCAACAAGCGACAACAGGGGCCCATGACAGATTACGGGCCTGGCAGCAGCATGAGAGGAGTCGGTACGGGGGCCCATGGCAGATTACGGGCCTGGCAGCAGCAATGGGAGGCCATACAGCACCCTATGACAAAATGGAAACCCACCAGCAGTGTGAGGAGACCTGAAAGTGGCACATGGCAGAGTGTGGCGATGGAGACAGCAGCAATGGGAGGCGGTACAGGGACCCATGAGACACTGTGGACCTGGCAGCAGCATGAGGAGGCGGTACAGGGGCCCATGGCAGATTAAGGCCTGGCAGCAGCAATGGGAGGCCCGTAATCTGCCAGCACCCTATGACAAAATGGAACCCTGGGTGGGGCAGGCAGAACCGCCGTATCTTTATCACGGTTTTTTCCCAGGCCACCGAATGGCGACGCTGCATATGCTGACGCAACGCTGTAGTCCCAACATGGGCCCCCTGGCCACGCTTGACTTTCTGGCCACATAGTCGACATACGGCTACGTTTACTTCCTCGGGCGGCTTGACGAAAAATTGCCACACCGCCGAGTAGGAAACTTTGCCCCCGCTACTCCTCACTGGCTGACTGCTACTTCCTCTGTGCACACCGGCACCACTACTGGCCGTGGTGGTAGGCTGCAGTGGAGCTGGTGCTCTACTCCGTGGCCGTTTGCCTCCACTGACACTGCTGCGACCCTGCTGCCTCCTGGCAGCAGCAATGGGGAGGAGGAGGCGGTACAGGGGCCCATGGCAGATTAGGGGCCTGGCAGCAGCAATGGGAGGCCCGTAATCTGCCAGCACCCTATGACAAAAAATGGAACACACCAGCAGTGAGGAGACCTGAAAGTGGCACATGGCAGAGTGTGGCGATGGAGACAGCAGCAATGGGAGGCCGTACAGGGACCCATGAGAGACTCTGGACCTGGCAGCAGCATGAGGAGGCGGTACGGGGCCCATGGCAGATTACGGGCCTGGCAGCAGCAATGGGAGGCCCGTAATCTGCCAGCACCCTATGACAAAAAATGGAACACACCAGCAGTGTGAGGAGACCTGAAAGTGGCACATGGCAGAGTGTGGCGATGGAGACAGCAGCAATGGGAGGCCGTACAGGGACCCATGAGACACTGTGGACCTGGCAGCAGCATGAGGAGGCGGTACAGGGGCCCATGGCAGATTAGGGGCCTGGCAGCAGCAATGGGAGGCCCGTAATCTGCCAGCACTCTATGACAAAAAATGGAACACACACCAGCAGTGTGAGGAGACCTGAAAGTGGCACATGGCATGACACACTGTGGACCTGGCAGCAGCATGAGGAGGCGGTACAGGGGCCCATGGCAGATTACAGGCCTGGCAGCAGCAATGGGAGGCCCGTAATCTGCCAGCACCCTATGACAAAAAATGGAACACACCAGCAGTGTGTGAGGAGACCTGAAAGTGGCACATGGCAGAGTGTGGCGATGGAGACAGCAGCAATGGGAGGCCGTACAGGGACCCATGAGAGACTCTGGACCTGGCAGCAGCATGAGGAGGCGGTACAGGGGCCCATGGCAGATTAGGGGCCTGGC